TATCTTAAGAGGGAACTTCTTAACCTTTACAGAACATGATAAGATTTAAAATTGAGATGTTGCATCGTCTTAAAATGCCCTTTTGAATCGTTATTGTAAAATAAACATTTTCCAGTGTTAGGTTTTAATTGTAGAGATACAATTTATGTCACACAAGTTACGGGATGTTCTTAAATTATACCTTGAAACCCTGTGAATAAAATAAATAACTCAGATATATATGTATTTCCTTTTAAAAACGTGAGCTATTGTGCCTGTACACCACGTTATTTTTTTATTGATAGACTTGAAATGTCCACGTAGTTAAATCATTGCGAACTTCACGAACTTCAGGATGTGTAAACTTACTACATACTAACATGCCAATCATATGACAGTTCTATTTCCTCAGAACAGCAGCAGAGACTTCGCTCTCTTTGGATAGATGTCTCCTAGTTACAAGTGACGCTTAAGACCACAGCCAATCAAAAAACAGCTAACCTGCACGGCGAAGCGCGGTCGAGTATTAAAGAGTGGACCCGCACAGTTGTTTGTGGGTCAGTGTTGTGGTGCTAGTGACAGTTATAAACAGTGACTTGGTTGTAGGTAAGGATGAAGGCACTACTGCTGCTGTTTTTGGCTTTTGGGTACGTCGGCTCCTCCGTGTACTCCTCATGCTCCCAGTCGCCATTAAACTGGTGTTCATCTGTTGACTCGGCTGTTGAGTGCGGGGTAAGAACTTTATACATAACTTTTTATCAAGAGCTAATTTTGAATGGCTAGTTAGTGTCGACGACGTTAGCCACTTTCATAGGTAAGGCAATAGCTAAATAAAAGTTTCTATATTTATGAGAAAAAAAAACCCACTGAGAGAAAGCGTAGCGGCACCAATGAGTGCGTCGCTGTAATGTGATATGCGGTCAGTTTTCAGGTGAGTAAACTGACCTGACCGCAAATAATGGTTTCCTCTGATAAAGACTTCAAAAGTATAGTCTGAATGTGGAGAGGTGAACAATTATCATGCACATAAAGTTAGCGGAGCCAGTCTCTTACAAAAATCAGAGTCATCCTTAAGCGTTGCCCTTGTCTTCATCTTTTAATGACGTCACGTGTGTTATTAAGTAATTATTTATAGCTAATGTTCGGTGTTAGCTAACAAGTACTCACTAAAACTCTGTAACCGTTTTTGTCTGTTAACTGGACTTCGAAAGAAACGGTTATTTTTAGGTTTTAAGGAACTAGGAAGTAAACTTTCAAATATGCCAGTTCTTTGCCAGCTGTGCGGTCTTTACATGCACCACTAAGCAGCCAGTTTAGTTGGTCTTACCATAGTTGGCATACAGTGAATAAAAGATATAGTCATGTAAATGGTGATTGTAATATTGTTAATAAATCTATCACAATTATAATGCAATAAACAATATAAATATAATTCAAACTTTTAAAAACGATCGCTGCAACAACTTGATAGGTAATCTGTGTATGCTGTTTTTAAGTCATAAAAAAGGACCAGCTAATGCACATTTTCAACCTTTCTGTAGCATTTTCAGCTGAAATTGGCTTGATCACAAGTAATTACAACCACATGCTATTGATGAAAAGTCATAGTATAACTCTCACTGATGCTGAGCTTCCTCTGGAGTCTTGAACGTGGTGGCGTTTTGAAGAAGCTGACCTCCCTGTTTTGCTCTTTGCTGTAGGTTTTGAAGTCGTGCCTTCATTCCAACTACACAAAGTCCCAACAGACAGACGATCCCGTTGAGGTGGGGCTTTACTACGAGAGTCTGTGTCCTGGGTGCAGACAGTTTCTCGTTATGATGCTCTTCCCCACAGCGGTCCTCCTGAATGACATCATGGTTGTTAACCTGGTGCCTTTCGGCAATGCCCAGGTAAGCAGTCGGCTGAGCAGCTTGGTTGCAGACTGCGATTGTAAATCTACCTGTGCAAAGACATTTACGGTTAAAGGCAACCCAAGAGTTCTCATCACTATATCTGTCAAAAATTTAAAAAGATTTACCCAAGTACATCATTGGTAACTGTATTCCATTCCAGGAGGTCAAACAGGATGAAAAGTACGTCTTTACTTGCCAGCATGGAGAACAGGAGTGTCTGGGCAACATGATTGAGGTGACGTTGCACCCCAGACACACACCAACAACTCAAACTGCTGAATAATGTGTCATGTCTGGTGTCAAAAGCATCTTGCTGTGTTGCTTCAAAATGCTTAATTTTTTTAAAAGAATGAAATATTTGTTTTTTGTTTTTTCTCTAGACTTGTTTGATGAACATGTCCAAGAGGGCTTTTCCAATCATTTTCTGTATGGAGTCCTCCTCTGATGTCATCAATTCAGCCAAAGCTGTAAGTGTGTGCGTGTTTGTTTGATTTATGCAGGCAATTGACTGGTCTAGACCACTTCAGTCCATGACTTTTTTTTTTTTTCGGTCACTAATAAATTTCCGTTTACAACCATGTTTGGTTGTAGTGTACTGGAGTCTATGACCCCACTTTGAGCTGGGACAAAGTCATGAGCTGCGTCAATGGTCCTCAAGGAAACCAGCTGATGCATCAAAATGCCTTGGAGACGGCAGCCCTGAAACCTCCGCACCAGTACGTGCCCTGGATCACCATTAATGGGGTAAGACTTTACTGCAGTAACAGCCTAACCAGCAAATACCATGGTGTTCAGTTTTACCTATATAGTGCCAAATCGCAACAACAGTCACGTAAAGGCACTTTATCTCATAGGGTAAAGACCCTACGACGTAAGAGAACCCCAACAATCAGACAGCCTACAATGAGCAACACTTGGTGACAGTGTCTTTTCGTATTTAGATTTCCAAAATCCATATGACAATAGGTGCATAGTAAGTGTGCCTCACCTGATTACAATTTTGCTAAGATCACATGACCCAAGATTAACGGCAATCACATTTTTGGGGGATTCCTATGAAAAGCAAGTCAAATGCTAAATTCAGATCATCCACAATATAAGGTTATCAGGCTGCTCAGCTCTATCTGTTGCATTTGCCTGTCCCTTTTTGGAAATGGTCTCTCTCAGCCTTTGCACTTACCACCTTAGTCATTCACACCGGTCTTCCTTACAGTTATATGACATTGCTGTGACCTGCAATCACCTGCAAGTCATGCACCTAGCAATCTAACGAGGTCAGTCAGATGATCTGTCTCTGACGGCCTCTTATTGCTGTTTTACATTCCAGTATCACCAGGTCTAAGACCTAAAGTGTACTGCTAAGTGTCTGTTGCCTTAATAAACCATTCAAACTGTGTAACTGAGGTATGAGAAGTTACTTATTTTTAAATGTTGGGAATATTAATTTTCATTGATTTGTAGGAGCATACAGACGACCTGCAGGACAAAGCCATGAATTCTCTCCTCTCTCTCGTCTGCAGCATGTACAAGGTACAGTCATCAATGTCTACTAGATATCTGCCTTGTAATTTACTTGAACTTAAGTTTTTGTTTTGTTTTTTCAGGGCACTAAGCCTGCGGCCTGCGGGGGGAGCCAGATGCACTACAAAACTTACTGCCAGAAAGTGTGAATGAGCAATTCTGCACATGCCTGTTTACTAGCCAGGTGTGGCCACTAAACAAGAAACACTGAAGAATGTCATCAAAGATTTTATTTTTCTTTTTGTGTTTTTGAACTTTGTTTCTAAGAATTTGATCACTTCACTTTTGTAATTCCAAAATATAAAAACACATGTTACCTTCTTAAGAGACTGTGTTGTCATTGAATTAATATCTATGGAAACCAAAAAATCATAAATGGCTTTTGTAGTACTTTGGTATTTGCCCTATTTAAAGTGTTTTTTGCTTAACTTTTTAAAAAAACAGTTTAGATGGAGGTACACAAATTCACAAATCATCCAAAAAAACACAAATCGTCATTTGTTAGAGGTAATAAACACACACAGTAGGGTATTAATATCTTGTGGGGACAATGCTTTACCTAGCCCTAACCATCGAAAATGAATGCCTAACCCTTGCCCTAAACCTAACCATAACCAAATGTTACACTGTGACTAAAACCACAGTCTCAGTCTCCAAATTCCCTTCAAACTTGTGAGAACCAGGATTTTGGTCCCCAAAAGGGCCGTTGGTCCCCACAAATATAGTAAGCTTACACACAGACACACACACACACAGACAGACACAGACAGTGTTGTCACAGTGCTGTATTAAAACTGATATTTTGAGTTTATTTACTAGATTCTTTGTCTTTGTAGTCTCCCCACAGCGTCAGAGTAAGTGTTTAATGTAAATGGTAGGATAATAGGTAATCTAAAGCTCATGCCTAATGGCCTTGAAAACATGTGTCACAGTTGACATTATACTTCACGTTCTGTTTGTTTTTTAAACCTGAGTTAATGTGGGCTTAGCATCAGGAGGCACAGGTTCATTAAAGTTCACAAAATCTCCTGAATCTTTAACACAGACTCACCTACAGCTACAAATTTAAACCGTGTTCATGGAGTAAGGAAAAAAAGCTTAAATGAGAAGATTTTAGGCAACCGCTTGATCAAACCCAGAGTTTTGCTGCACTGACCGGCAGGTCTGGATCTGCAAGGTCCACAGATTCTGCAGACAGACTCGCATGACTAATGGCATGCCACGCAGGCTGTTCCACCACCTCAATCTCTGTACCAGCATCTGCAGCCTCCACATACTTTCTGTTTTGGCGACTAATTGTCGTCATTTTCCAAAACATCGCTTTTGGGTCAAATCGGTTTACTACTACTACTACTAAGAAAGTTTGCTGTTTATCACCGATGTGATGACAGCTGAAAGTTTTGAAGAGGCGGGGAGACAGTTTGGTCTGTACTGAGTGACATCCCAGCTAAATGCTGGTGCCACAGACAGCTTCATATCTCATCTTAACTGTAGTTCCTGTATCCTCCTCGTTGGCATTTCCTTCTCATTTGTCTGGTTCCCAGTAGCTGAAAGTATGAGGAGAAATAACTCAAAAATTTTCAACTTCACAGAGGTAAGAGTAATAATTTCACGTTTAAGAAATTCGGCAACCTTTATTACGCTTGGCTTGGTTATTTCTTTCTTTCTTTCTTTCTTTGCTTTCTTTTATGAACTCAAAAGAAAGTGAACTGGTTACACATTCGCAAAAACTAAATGGAAAGCTATGATGTGTGATTAATGTGGATTCTGTAATTGCACTGCTACGTGTTTTGTTTTCCTTCCTTGTTCCTGTTGCCAAATAGTTGTGGAAACTTTAATGGGAGCTTGTGTGTGAAAATAAGCAACAGCATTAAAGTGTAAAATTGTGTCATTAAGGAAGGAAATCATTTGGTGGCAAAGACAAAGTTAATGTGTTGCAGCATAGCTTTCTCTTGATCGATCCAACTCATAATCCATGAAGTTGACACATCGGCCCCTCTCGTGGTGATCTTGGGTAGAAACGGTCAACAATAAAACTCCAGAGTCTGTTGACGTTTGTTTATGGAAAGGTGAAACTTCCAAGCAGAAGGAGAGATAGGGTCACGGGATACAGCGGCACACAAGGACTCTTATCTGTTTCCCCTCAACGCTGACGCTGAAACAGAGAAGCCCTGAGAGCGAAATCCCAAACACTGTCTCCCTGTAAGAACCGTCTATTGTGTCCAAGGTGATAGTGTGTTTGGTCTCAGGACCTGAAATCAGATAAACCTTCCAAAAATAATGCCCGAGTTGGCTTTTGTGAGGCTTGTCACATTTTTAGTAGCGTCATAAAAACAGCCCTGTGCATGGCTCACCTTTAGATCTCAACAGAGGGGTTTTTTTTGGGGTTTTTTTTTTACTTCACAGAGACTTTTCAAGAAGCTCGGGAAATATAAAAACTTCTCCCTGCTGGCAAACATGCAGCTTTCCTTTATGTATGGTTTCTGTGATATCCCTGCTAAAATGCTGCTTCTGTATTGTTGCTCTGTCACCAGTTTGTGTAGTTCTTGTAATTATTGCAGGCCATAAACTATTAACAACAAAAAGGCAAATTTTCTCTGAACATCATTTTCATTTTTCAAAGTAATAGCCCAGAAAGCTGCACATAAGCTAAATTATAGGATGAATGAGTGCCAAGTAGCTTTGAGCCAGGGTTTGCTGTTGAAAAGCACAGAGCTGCTGATTGTTGTGATGCATAGCAATCAATCTTGTTAGCGCCACAGCACATGCACATGCACATCCCTTTCATTTCAGTAAGAAAGCTGACATGCAAAGCATATGAAAGAAAATCGAGTTAACCAAGCAGTTTCCATTTCAAAAAAATCTCCTTTCTTGTCTGCAGTTCACTCCAAACCTTTGAGTTCAGTGCAAAAAAGTGAACAAGTTAAAAAGCTGGTCCCCCTTTTTGTCTCCAATCTAGTCTTTATGAATGTAGATTTATCCCGTCTTTATACATCACACTCTTCTTTTTCTAGCTTACAGTTAGACATGTATGCATATATCATCTCAGTAAAAAAACAAATCGCCTGCCTTTTATCTGCCTTACAGAGACAGTGGGATTCCTTAGACCAAACCTCCTCTGTAGAGCCTCTCCAGGACTGTGATATCAGATGGGCTGTGAAGAGGCTCTTCTCGGGAAACCTGCAGCTGCCCAAGCTTTCCTGCAGATCTTCTGCTCAGGATGGCCCTCCGCCCGTCGCCCCATTGGGCCCTGCGACCTACAGGATCAAACACTCGAGAAGTTACGGGACTCTGACCAGCTGCATGTCCAGAGGCCTGTAAGTCACTGATGTTGAACATGTTTAGTGGCATTTTGCTAATGAATTTAAATGTGCATACCAAAACATCACACATCCTGCTTCAAAAGCATGTTTGGGAACACATGATACTTCAGGTATCTCACACATGTTAAATTCATTCTTTAAATATCCTCTGATTTCCTCTAGAAAGAACAGCTCTGGAGTTTAAGTGTTCCCAAAACCAGCGCTCTGTGTGGAAAGGAGTTAATTTTTTCCTAGTTTCCCAACAGCTGGGCCCCTTCTCAAGCTTAATGATTAAAATTATATGTGTTCAGTGTGAAACCAGCCCCTGTGAAGCAAGCTGTGGTCTTGTAAATCAACACAGATTAAGGAGTACTTAATGATCATCTGTTTTTAGGCGGGGCGGGGGGGTAATTGTTTATTTAGGTTGAAAAAAGCTGAGTTGCTTCTCGAGCATATGATTGAACAAAGTGTCCCGCTTAAGGCGTTGCGCTCGCCTCTGTCACACTGCTGAACAATTATCGCCATAAAAGATCAGACAAACAAGGCTCTTATTATTGTTTCCACAACAACATTCAAGCTGCTTCAGCAATACATCTGTAGCAATTTCGGCCTCTCTAAACTTCGTGTGTGTGTGTGTACGTGTCTGCATGTGCTGGCGTCTGTGAACGTGTGTGTACGTGTACCATCATTACGTCTCTTTTTCCACCTGTTGATGGAATCCGGAGACATCTGTTTGATATTGTTATTAGTTACAGTGAACCTCACAGGTGAACCCCTGTTGGCTTCTTCTTTGTCATGTGATTCATTGTTGAGTAGCACCTCTGCAAACACTGGATAAACTGAGAGTGATGTGGTGTTTTGTTCTTTTGCATTGCTCTTTATACGCTCACTGGCCACTTTATTAAGTACACCTATACAACTTCATGAAATATCCAATCAACCAGTGACATGGCTGCAACTCTGTGCGTTTGGCCATTTAGAAATGATTGAGACGACCTGCTAAAATTCAAAATGAGCTTCAGAATGGGGAAGAAAGGTGATTTAACCAACTTTGAACGTCGCTTAGAGTTTGGTGCCAGACGGGCTAGTCTGAGGATTTCACAAACTGCTGATCTGCTGGGATTTTAGCCACACAGTCACCTCTAAGGTTTATAGAGAAGAGTCTGAAAATGAGAAACTACCTTGAAAGTTTATTATTTGGTTGGCTGTAGGTGGTGGTGGTTCAATGCCTGACTGCTCCAGTCTCCATGCCTAGGCATCCTTAGGCAAGATACTAACCCCAAGTTGCTCTACGATTCATCCATCAGAGAATGAATGTGTGTGAATGTTAGATAGAAAGCACTTGAGCAGAGAAAAAAGAGCTTGCGTGAATGGGTGTGAATGGGTATGAGGCATGTATAAAGTGCTTTGAGTGCTCGGGTAGATTAGAAAAGAACTATATAAGAACCAGTCCATTTACCATTAATGAAGTAGATGTGCCACAGCAGCATAAGAGCACAGTGGTGTTCTTGTTATATAAGAACAAGATTTGCTTGGGCTTTCCAAAATTGGATAGCAGACGTGCCGAGACATTCTGAGGATATGGTCAGAATTTGGTGTAAACAGCTTGAAGGCATGGATCCATCCAGCCTTGTGTCAATGATTCAGGCTGGTTTTAGTGTATTTTAGAATTTTAGAAATTGATTTTGGAAACTGTTTAAAAACAGTGGGATACATGGAGGGTCTTTAAAGGAGATTGATGATACCAGCTGTTTAAAAGTAAGAGTGACTGACTGATAATCGAGAGAAACCCAGGGGAAATGATAGGTAGAGTCTCTTGAAGAAATTTGGGAGAAATAGTGTCAACTGGGCAGAAAGAAGTGCACATATTAGAAGCTATATCAAGGAGATCATTCCATCCATTCCTTTTTCTTTCAGGTAATTCATTTCAGGGTCGTGGGGGGCTGGAGCCTATCCCAGCTGCCATAGGCTTCAGTAGATAGGCATAAGTAGATGACTACACTTGGACAAGGTGATAGGATCCAATCGTGAACTGTGACCTGATACCATAGATCTTACTAGCAATAAATAATAAAATAATAATAAAGAAAAATTGACACTCAACGGAGCCAGTGAAGTCGGACGTTTTTTCAGTTGAGCGTGGTTAATAAGTTCTTCATGTGAATAAAGTGAAAAGGGAGATCTTTGTTTTCCCATCTCTTTTCAGCTTTTTTGTGCTCTCTTCTATCCTGATGAATATAATCATTGATCCAAAGAGGAGGGATTACTCTGGACTTTTCAGAGGCTCTATTATCAGGATCTGATGTACACAGACTACTGAAAGTTAAGTGAGTCCCTGATATTTGAAGACAGCTGCAACGTTGAGATGGAGATATAAGAGAACAGAGCTGGGAACGTTGCTGCCAAGTTCTCATTGGGTGAATCCCATAGGCATTCAACCTATTGATTTCCTGTTTCTTGAGAGCAGGCGCAGGTTCGTATCCTACCCGTGGCGGTTGTCGCATGTCTTCCCTGCTCTCGCTCCCTCTGCTTTCTTGACACTTTTTAGTGTACCCTTTCAAATAAAGCCATCTTTATCACACAGTTCAGCTTCTTCACCTCTTTTCAGCAAATTGTTCCGCTTCTTCAGCTGTTTTCGGAAGACGATTTTCACTATATGGCATTTACTCGGCATTTTCGCAGGAAATGCAACTTTTGTGAGACAGTATAGCTCAATAGAAATCTAGAAGGGAACACAAACATGTTCAGTGTTGTTGAAAAGTAGCCAACAAAATTGGAAAATGTATTATTGTAATGGCAACGAGGACAGCAGGTTATTGGGGTCGGATGTGGCTCAGGAGGCGAAATGATTCATTCATTAATCCCTGGCTTCTTCTGTTGGCATGTCAATTCGTCCTTTTCATGCCGAACCACAAAAAACTCTCCACTTAATGCAGTGTATCCATCTCTCTCTCTTTCTCTGTGTGCATGTGTGCGTGTGTTTGTGTGATAGGAATAGCGATGTATCTACTGAGTAGAAAAAGTACTTTATGATGTTTGCATGTGGATCGATGAGTGGCCTATCATGCGAAACACTTTCAGTGGTCAATAAGAGCACTACATAAATGCATTCTGTGGGTCATCTCCGGTAACAGTTCTCAGTATTACGGTCACATTTGGATACAATTGATTGCAGCACGAGACTTTGCAAGCTGGAAAAGATACTCATTGTTTTCTGGTAAATTGAAGTCTTTTGACACATATTATGCAACTATAAAAGGTCATAAGTTTTTGTTTTTTTTACTTTATAGCATGCTCTGCTGCAACAACACACACTGTGTTTCATGTGCTTGTGTAACTGTCAACTGATCAAACATGACCTTTTCATGTAGGAGGTCAGGTCAGCTTATAGTCAGTCTTAGGCCATAACACGTCCCATCAAAGGTGCTCTAGAACTTCACTGTGAACTTCTCACCACTTCTTGACTCACTCTCCTGCAGACCCTACCAATGCGCTGCAATCCCCACCCAGCAGGTAGAGCCTGGGGAAGTTGCACACAGTTGCTGCACACTCTTCTGCCAAAGACACTCTTTCAAAAGAGAATCTTAATGTCAAGATTTATACTTCCTGGTTAAGTAGCTTTAACTGCTTTTTCACTGACAGATATTTTATTCACAATTGAACAATATGGCAAATATATAAATTGAGAAGCTGTACTGCTGTTAACAAAAATATTAGCTCATTTTGGAATTTCATTCCAACAACGCATCTAAAAACATGGGAACGAGGGCAACAATCGGGTGGAGAAACATTTTACAGCTAATGAGGTTAACTGGCAGCAGGTCAGTGACATGATTGGGTTTAAAAAGTGCATCCTAGAGAGGCAGAGGTTCACCAAGCTGCAAAAAACTGTGTCTACAAATTGTGGAACAGCTGCAGAATCATGATCGTCAGCGTAAAATGGCAAAGACTTTGAATATCTCATCATCTGCAGTACATAATGTCCTCAAAAGATTCAGAAAATTGTTAGAAATCTCTTTGTGCAGGGGAAAAGACTGGAAATCAATATTGGATGGCTATGATCTTTCAGCCCTCGGGCAGCACTGCATTAAAAACAGGAACGATTCTGTCATGGAACTGTGAGCACAGTTCACTGTGCCATCCGCAAATGCAGGTTAAAGCTCTATCATGAAGAGAAGAAGCCGTAATTGGACACGATCCACGAACGCTGCTGTGTTCTCTGAGCCGACGCTCATTTAAAACGGACTGAAACAAAGTGAAAAACTGTTCTGTTCTCTGTACATCTATTACATCTGCATGACATTGTATTTGCTGAACTAACCTGTCTTTAGTCCAGACCTTTCACCAACTGAAAACATTTACAGCATAAATAAGTGAAAACTTCAACAAAGAAGAGCCAGGACTGATGAGCAGCTAGAATCATATATCAGACAAGAATGAGACAACAAAAGACCAGCAGCTGGTCTCCTCAGTTCCCAGATGTTTAAAAGAAGATGGAAATGGTGCACAGTGGTAAACATCGCCCTGTCCCAACTGTTTTTAAACATGTCGCTGCCATCAAATTCAAACATTTGATGCGCTTTCTGTGTTCTGTTAATACCTGTTTATGATATTTGCAAATCATTTCGTTCTCCTTTTATTTACATTTTACGCAGCATCCCGCCTTTTTCAGCATTGGGTTTGGAAAAACACTATCCTGCCAGCCTCTTTATGCACGTACGGGGCCCTAAAATGCAGAAAAAAAACCTTCAGATGCACTATAAACATCACATCTAGATTTATACTAACGGATTACTGCTATAACGCAGCACATAAAAAATAGGTGCAAGTACTGTGATGTTTCACTTTTATTTACTTCATAAATGTTTATATGACAGCAGGTATAAAGTAGCACGGCTACAAACATGACAGCAGGGATATCGAAGGACTAGAAAGCCTTTCATTATGTTCCCTTTCTATGAAGAGAGCCATGTGCTCTCCTGTTTACCAGTTGGTAGTGCAGTTTTGATGGGATG